TAAATCTAAGTGCAAACACATATAGTAGAATTTTCTCTGTTTCAGTTAAAGGGTTTTGTTGAGTGACATTCAGGGCAGCCTGTCTGCCTTGGCTCAGAGAGACTTTTCACACGCAATCATCTTCTGATCTTCACCTCATTCATTTTGCAATCAGCTTCCAGGGCACCTTTCTCAAGGTGCACACAGCCAGAGAGGCGGAAACATTTGTCACTGCCTTCCAGCAATCATGTTGCTGGTACCATTATTGAAGCCCCACTCTACACCTCTTCAGATACGGCAAGGAAGGAACATCACCTTGCACAACGGTGTTTGAGCTGTTACATTTCGTAAATGGCTCAGAGGAAAGCTCTCTCTCTGTCAGCAGAAAGAGAGATTGAGGTGTTTCTGGATGGAGTGGTGCAGAAAAGAGCAGACCACCATAAGACGCCATTCCACCAGTCCAAGCCAGCCTGGATATAAATTGCAGCACTGTAGCATAACATGTCACTTGAAGGTGTAACAGGTTCCATCTCAATTGAGTCACTTGAAGCTGGTCACATAGATGACCCATGGTATTCTTTATAACTGGAATGTCTTTGTATTAGTTCAGATACTGAAGTTCCTTCAATATTTGTTTATATTTAGAGAATTAGCAGCATTAAATTCTGTGAATTGACCTTCCAGAAGGCAGAACTACTTTTTTAAATCATAAAAACTAAGTTCCAAAGTGCCTGTGACTGAACTACTTGTGTGTTTCAGAAGCTGTATTAGGTGTCTGCTGAAACTTCCAGTATCAGGCTACCCAGATTTAGTTCTTGTGTTTTGTGAGCTGTCATAAGCGTTGCCAGAACAGGTAAAAAAAACTGAGACCATAAGGACTGCAGATGCTGAAAGCCAGAGTTAATAGATGTGAAGATGGAAAAGTACAGCAGGTCAGACAGCATCAAAGGAGCAGGAAAGTCAACGTTTTGGGCCGAAACCCTTCGCCAGGACTGGCCCAGTCTGACCTACTGTGCTTTTCCAGCTCCAGGTCCATTGACTGAAGTACAAATACTCTGCTGGAGGCAAAGCACACACTACAGTGGCAGTTCAGGGCTCATGGACTACAACTCTCATGGTTGCCTGCGCCATGTGCACTCAAAGACCCTTCCCAACTTATCCTCCCAAACTACAAAATTTCCCTGCCCTCTGCATTTCCTACTGACTCACATGACACCCAGCACCAATGTTCCTGCCCTTCCATCCACTTCTATCTTGTTCAAACCCTCCCTTTGTCTCATGGTAGGAAAAATTGGTCCATGCTCTAAAATATGTCTCCATAAAACCCCAACATTCCAATTTGTAATCGCCAGGCAACTTGCACTTATCCTACCAGAATGACCATGGCTCAATCTATGGACTGCAAGGAAATGGATCCTCAAACTCTACTGGAATAAAGTATTTGACTGACGATGCCAATAAACTATAGCGTAATCAGACAAACCTCTTAACCGACTGTGGCCCCAATGAGGAGTAGGAAATGCAGAGGTCAGGAAGAGTTAGTAGTTTGAAAGGATGAGAAGATTGAGAACTATTGTGTAGACATGCTGCATGAATAACAGTTGCTGACCATGAGCCTTGTTAAGAGCTGTGCACAGTGATAGAGTCAGAGTGAGTGGTGACCCTACAAATCTAAGGTAGCAGAGAGAGGATGGTGGCACCTACCTTCTGGGAATGCAGAACATCATTAGCCTTCTTCCTGCACTGCTGGGCATTTCATATATCCTGGGACACCACAATGATCCAGACCATGCTCTCCGTCCGAGTTGGTTACATCTGGTAAGGTGGCCTCCTCTGCCATTTAGCTGGAAAAAGCATGACTCTTCTTTTAACCACTTCATCCACCACCACCTCCAGGTTCTTGACAACAGAGGAAAGAGCTGATTTGCCTCTCTGGGCCATGTCCTTCAGGATACAAATGCAGGAACCAATAGGAAGGGTTGTTCATGACTTGTGGTGTTACACACAGATAGGATCTAAAAATGATGGCAGCAGCATGAAATTTACCAAGTCTCAGCAGTAGTGAGCACATTTGCATGTCTTGCTGTATGATTCCACGGCATAGGTGCCATGAAGGCTAGTTACATAACTAATAAACTGAAGAGCAGACATTTGTGTGAGAAAACGTGAGTCATGGTGGATTGAGACAACACAGTGTGGAGCTGGAGGAACACGGCAGGCCAGGCAGCATCAGAGGAGCAGGAAAGTTGATGTTTCGGGTTGCGACCCTTCTTCAGAAATGGGGAGGGGGAAGGCAGCTCAGAAATAAATAGAGAAAGGACGGGTGGGGCTGAGGAAGGTAGGTGGGATGGTGATAGGCAAGTGCAGGTAGGCAGTGGTGGGGACTGGTCAGTGGGATGGGTGGACTGATAGGTGGGAGAGAAGATGGACAGGTTGTGTCATGTCAAGGAGGTGGGAATGAGAGGGAGGGTTGGACATGAGATGAAGCCAGGGGTGGGGAGATTTTAAAACTGGTGAATTCCATGTTTAGGCCTTTGGGCAGTAGGCTCCCGAGGCAGAATATGAAGTGTTGTTCCTCCAGTTTGCGTGTGGTGCCATTGTGGCACTGGAGGAGGCCCAGGATGGCATGTCACTTAGGGAGTAGGAGGGAGAATTAAAATGGTTGGCAACCAGAAGGTGTTGTCCTTTGTCGCGTTCAGAGTGCAGATGTTCTACAAAACAATGCCTGAATCTACGCTTGGTCTCACCGATGTAGAGGAGGCCACATCGGGAGCAGTGGATACAGTAGACCAAGTTGGCAGATGTACAGGTGAACCCCTGTTGGATAGGAAAAGTTTGCTTTGGGCCTTGAATGGAGGTGAGGGGGGAGGTGTAGGGGCAGGTGTAGCACTTGCTGCTGTTGCAGAGAAAGGTGCCAGGTGCAGTGGGGTTAGTGGCGAGTGTGGAGCAGACAAGGGAGTTGTGGAGTGAGCAGTCCCAATGAAAGGCAGATGGGGGTGTGGAGGGAAATATCTCTTTGGTCACAGGGTCGGATTGTAGGTGGTGGAAATGGCGGAGAATGATACGCTGGATGTGGAGGTTGGTGGGGTAGTATATGAGGATTGGGGGATTCTGTCTTTATTTTTGTTGGGGGGAGGGGGTTTGAGGTTAGAAGTGCGGGAAATGCAAGACATGTAGTTGAGGGCATTTTTGATCTCTGGAGGGGGGGTGTTGCGGTCTTTGAAATAGGAGGACATCTGGGATGTCCAGGAGTGGAACGTCCCATCTTGGCAGCAGATGTGCCAGAGGCGAAGGAATTGGGAGTAAGGGATCGCATTCTTGCGGGAGGGTGGGTGAGAGGAGGTGTAGTCCAGGTAGCTATGGAAGTCGGTGGGCTTGGAATAGATGTCAGTGTTGAGGCAGTCACCAGAGATGGAGACAGAGAGGCCCAGGAAGGAGAGGGAAGTAACGGAGATGGTCCAGGTGAATTTGAGGTTGGGGTGAAAGGTGTTAGTAAAGTTGATGAACTGCTCAAGCTCCTCGTGGGAGCACAAGGCAGTGCCGATACAGTCATCAATGTAGCGGAGGAAGAGGTAGGGGATAGTGCCAGTGTAGCTGCGGAAAAGGGGCTGCTCCAAGTGTCCTACAAAGATGCAGGCATAGCTTAGGTCCATGCGGGTTCCCATGGCCATCCCCTTAGTCTGTAGGAAGTGAGAGGAGTTAAAGGAGAAGCTGTTAAGGGTGAGGACAAGTTCTGTTAAGCAGATGAGGGTGTCAGTGGAGGGAGACTGGTTGGGCCTGTGGGAGAGGAAGAAGTGGATGGCTTTTAGGCCATCTGCATGGGGGATACAAGTGTACAGGGATTGGATGTCCGTAGTAAAGATGAGTCTGTTAAGCGGATGAGGGTGTTGGTGGCTCTGTTAAGCAGATGAGGATGTTGGTGAGGGCGCCTGCTTTGAGCCTTACCATAACAAAAACTTTGCTAAAAATTGGGAAAAATCACTCTTCCTGAACAACGTGTTTTGCTTAATTCCACATTATATATTCATTAAGTATCATTCCGGAAAAAAACTTCTGTGATGGAATACATTTACAGAGAATTTGAAAACAATGGGATTTCCAAAATCTGCTTCTTCTTGCCAGAACTGCGAAAGAACATGAACCAGGACAAGACTTTGGAAGTGAATAAGAATATTGAAGAATATGGTAAAACATTACAGCAGGCTTACTCCTCCCTAATTGTGACTGATGATGAGATTAACATCAGAGACAGAAACAGAGACAAACGTAATGGATGTAAGTTCAAATTATATCGGTAATACTCGTATAAGGTATTATACTTGAATAGTGGAACAATAGAACATTTGGTAAATTAGTTAGTCATTGGTTAAAGAAAGACACGTAGAGGTACATTCTGTTAACACCACTGAAACCTCACAGTAATTGCAATTACACAGAGGGTTAATGCCTACTAAAAACTGCTTCTCTATTTATTTTCTCCTTCATTTAGAAAGTTAAGATTCAAGAATCAGACAGCTTGCTGATATTCAATAATCTGGTTTGGACAGTCACCATTCAAGTATACTCAAATTCAAAATGAACCAGCTGCTTTGGAATCTTCTATGCTAACAGTCATTTGGTTTCTGCTGACAAAAAGAAAATTACATTGGCAAAACTGTAATTTTCTACAAAGAGAGCTTTAGAAATGGATAAGAAATTATGGAAAATAACTGTGATTCTTGACATTCAAGGAACCAGAGTTACCAAATGCATTCATCTCTATTGAAATACAAATATAACTTAGGTGTTTAAAGAACATTCTTTTTGAAAAGAAAACTATACCACCTCCATTCTGTGATGTAATTATTCAAATAGTTCCCAACAAGAAAATTGGATTTGGTCAGAATTTAAATTTGTTCAATGCTCATCAATGACAAAACAGCTTCCTTTCTGTATCAGTAGTTCCTGTGTTACGACTCTCTAGGGTTTTCATTTATTTTCTCTTACTATTCTTGAGATGAGGTGTGTTTTAATTACTCAGTAATCCATTAAAGCTGCACAAATGAGATAACGTAAAAATCATCGCTCAATTAAGACAAATTTAAGAACTAAGATGGAAACCAAAGTTAACACACTGCAGATGGTAAGTAAATCCATTTTCATAATAAACTCTTATCAGCATCTTCTCAAAAGGCTTCAGGTGATGCTGCTTTGTGAAAAAAAAATCTGTATTACATCATAGTTCCTTTCATTACTTCTACATCTTACAAATCTTTTTAACTACAATGCCAATATATGACAACTTGTTATTTAAGCCAATTTGTATATAATGCTTACACAGTACAACAAATTATTTCTGTGATTGACTGACTGTCCAACCAGATTACAAGGTTGAAACTAGGCGGAATGATTAATATTTGTTTAAATCATGAGTATCATTGGATTCCTTGTCACAAAGTGTACAGTTGTTTACTGAGTGTTCTTATTGTGTACTTTTACAATTTTCTCAATTTTTTTCCCTAACTAATTGATAATCTGGTGAAATTTTCTTCATTTTCAGTCCGAGAAATTAATTGGGATGAGTTGGAACTAATTGTTGAAATGGAAAAACTTCCGCCTTATCCAAGAAAACTCACTGAAGGATTCAGGACAGTTCTTTGGGGTGTGTTTTTTGGTTTTGTTGGTTCCACTTTTCTGGGTGCCATCAGCCTATATTTTATCATCAAAATAACGGAGAAAGACTATATGGAGATAATGCGTCGGTCAAATGTGCTGCACCGCATCAAACGCAGAAGAAAACCAGTACAACGTATAGTTTACTCTTCAGATGATGAAAACATTCATGTGGACAAATCACCTAAACACTTCAGACAGTACTTCCGTCCCTTTCGTGCTACAAATTATGTCCAAGAAAAATCGAAACCAAATAGGATGACAAACTAAAATAATTTCATATACCGTGTAACGTTAAAGGAAATTTGGAAATTGTAAATTTTTAAGTATCAGTGACTCAATTGTCTGATTACGTCATTCACCATACTGAAGAGAGATTTCCCTTCTCACAGAGAAGAAGAGAATTCCAAAATTTGGTCTCGTGCATTTCTTACCCTGGACTTGGGAATAAAAGCCAGTAAAGTAACATACATTGAATTGAGTCTTTCTTAGCATGTGACATTAGGCCTGAAAAACAGCAGAGAAGAGTGTCATTTAAATGGTTATATATTGGGAAGTGTTGGTGTACAATGGGATCCAGCTATCCTTGTACACACATCAATGAAAGCAGACAGGCAGATGCAGCAAACAATTAGGAAACAATTAGTACATTGGTTTTCATTGCAAGAAAGTTTGAGTTCAGGAGTGAGGATGTCTTACTACAGTTATACAGAGCCTTGATGAGACCACAGCTGGAGAAATTTTGGTCTCCCTACCTAAGAAAGGATATACTTATCGTAGAGCAAGTGTAGAGGAGAATCATTAGGCTAATACCAGGGATGGCAGAACTGTCCTATGAGGAGAGATTGGTTTGACTAGGCCTTATTCAATAGAGTTTAGAAGGATCAGAGGGGATATGATTTATGCATATAAAATTCTAACAGGGTTGGTAAACTAGATGAAGGGAGAAGATTTTCCCTGGCTGGAGAATCTAGAACTAAGGACACATTTTCAGATATGGAGTAGAACATTTAGGGCTGAGATGAGGAAAGGTTTCTTCACTCAAACAGTAGTGAATCTGTGGAATTCTCTACTAGAAGGCTGTGGAGACCGTCACCGAATATATTCAAGAATGAAATTGATAATCTTTTAGATTTTAAAGACATAAAGAGATATGGGGAGAAAGTGGAAATATGTTGAGATAGAGGATCAGCCATGATCATATAGAATGGTGTAGAAGGCTTGAAGGGCTGAATGGCCTACTCCTGCTCCTAGTTTCTATGTTTTCATGTTACTAAGATTTGTGGAGACAATTGTTTGTCATTAGTTGACTGTACAGTAAACTGGTTACACATGCAAATCTTTGTCCAATGAAAATTGTAGCAGACAGTCAGGAGGCTGAAGAATTGTAGACGGTAACACAGTGTAAAATTATGGGCTGTGTAAATTAGCCCATATCTGCCCTGTACTTATTCTCCAGATTAAGATAAAATTGAGGTGCGGAAGATACTGATATTAGAATATACAAACATCAGATTGAAGACTTCATTGAAGAGGTTTATGGATGACATTGCCCCATTGGATGAAAACCAAGGAAGTTGTTTTTACCAAAGAAGTGAAAAAGCTATTAGTAAGGATTAATATGTGTTAATGAAAAATACTGGAAATTTGGATCCATACCAGATGCTGGGGTTCACTCTACTGCAATTTAATGACTAATGACTTTGCATCCTGTGCTGTGTGATCACACATCTACTATAATGTGAGATACATTTCTATATTTTTACTTCCCATTTGATGGAAAACCACTGACTATTTTTTAGGTCAAGGCAAACATTAAAGACATCCCCCCCCTCCCCACTTAGTAACATATATTAATGGTCATACAGAGGTGCTAAACATTTACTTTTACGCTTCTGGGTCCAGAGAAATTTTTTCAATGTAATAAGATGTTGATATGACCAATGTTCTAAATTTCAAAAGACTCTGCAGAATTTGGGATTCACATCTTGCCCCCTTGCTGGCACAAACTGGATCTACTGATAATGTGGGCTGGACTCCACATTCAGATCTCACCTGCCATTCTAAAAAGTGTCTGTATCTGCTCTAACTCTGCAAAAATCCAGTCTGTTTGGTGAAAAGCAGAAGATGTTTAGATATGTAAAGATTTTTCAATTGGTAACACTGGGGTGGACAAAGACTGATTGTTGATTAATCAGGGCAAATCTTTAGGTCAACATTGTGATAATGAGGTCAAATAGAATAGGCAAATAGAAGAATGCGGAGGGACTTTATTCTGTGGTCAAGATGGGCAAGTTGTTAATCAAAGGTGGGTCTACATATGTACGTAGAAATGATCAACACTTCCATTATGCAGAAGGTAATTGTCATATAATGGTGGCTTATCCACTTGTGTCCATTAATTATTTGTATTATTCTTACTTGCATTAGATAAAGGAGGATAGCCACCACTGGAATAGCTGGTAAGAAGTCATAAAATGAAGTAGCGGGGATCATGTAGAAGGAATTCAGTATGAAAATGCTTGGACATTTAACAGTACCAACAATTGCTATATAGGGTGGAAGGTTGCTGGAATGCCAGTGGGAGATCAGTGTTGTCATTTTACAGCAAGGCCTGTTGAACCACAAGGAAGTCAGATACTGATGAGGCCAATCGCAGGTTTTTCACGACAATCATGGGAAGCGCCCAGCATTCCTTTTGCTTACCAAGGCCACTGAGGAGGTCACGGCTGCTGCCAAAATGACAGACACCCGAGGTTCATGATAATGGAGCAACCCAGGTTATAGGCAGATAATGTGCAGAGAGGCTTCACGAGGTGAGTGTCGTGGTGACCAGGCTGTTAGGGGGTTGAGTTTCAGTGCCTTTCCTAGTGTTGAGTCCTTTAATCAAGCACTGAGTGCCATTGAACCTCACCTTGAGAGGTGAAAAGCTGGCCATATAGTTTCACTGGTTATGTAGTCACATGTTGACAGTCCACTTGTAGCTGAGCTAAGACTAGTCGTGATAGAAGGAAGTCTTTTAGTGGTCATCGATTGGCTACTTGAGGGTCTCAATTAAGAACAAGTACGGAGTTCAACCGTCAGTCTTCCAGCCCCCGACTTAATTCTGGATGTAGAGGAAAAGCAAATGGTTCAGGTCTGCCATCGCTCCACCTAATTAAATGTCCCTCTCACCACCAAGCAAACCATGAGAGAATGCAGAGATTCAGCCCTCAATGTTACCAGATGGCTAATGATCTCACAAGGCCAATAAATAGGATTTGTCTGCAAATGAAAAAAAAACTTACTGAAGTTATGGGAAGCAAATAGTGTTCCCATCCCCAAATTTAAGCAGTAGCCTGCCAATACCACCTAACACTTTCTTCCTTGCTGCTGAGGCACTGTAACCTGGCACTACCCACTGATGAAGAAAGAACTTCATTTGAATAGTGCCTTTCATAATGTCAAAATCTCCCAAAGCATTTACACTCAATTATGTGCTCCTGAAATGTAGTCACTGTATTAATGCTACAGTTTTTGTCACCATTATTTTATTCAGAGTTATCGGGCAAAGGCAGGAGAAAGGCTTTGAGCCATAATGCTCATTCAGAGAGCTGGTGCAGACTGAAAGGAGGCCAAATGGCTCCTTCTGCATTGTAATAATTCGGTGATCTGCAATGTCTGAAATGCCTTCCTCAAGTCCTATGATATATTCCAATCCACTGAAATATTGAATCTTAGATTGTTCTTTCTTCCATCAGCTATTATTATCAACTAGATCCTAATAGGGTATGATTGCAGGGTTAGAAACAACTAAAACCATGTACGCCTCCTGCTGGAAGAGACAGCATATAATTTTAGAAAACAGCAGAGCCTAGGAAAGAAAATGCAGGCATTTCCACATGAATTCATTGTGAAGAGGAGGCAATGTCAATCACTGGAACTCTTGCCTGGCTGTGGAGTATGGAGCTATAAAAGACATCATACCTTCACTGATCATGATTGCATAGAATTTTCCTTATGTGATGTATCTATGCATTCTTCAATTTCTGTTCTATCTACCAGTTTGATTATTAAAAAAATTCCACTGAATAATTGATTGAAATAGGTATGCTGGTCACGCAGACACAAGTAGCTCTAGTGCTTTTTCCTTCAAAGTCTTCAAGCAGAAAACAGAAAAGATGGATGATGATGGTAAAATGATTGTAGTCTCTTCTACCTCTGGCAACACTGGCACTGACTCATCCATCCATTTCCCAAAGTGTTTTAGTCTTGGGAGAGCCCTAAAGGACTAGTGTAATCTTTTCATTTTATACACCAGGCACCTTTTAGATATTTCAGATTTGCAGCAAATTGCAAATTAGTTTGAGTATATTGGCAACAGGTATGAAATGTCTGAACTTTACGAAAGGGCTTTACAAAATATAAAGATCAAGCGATCTTTATCCACGTAGACTCGCCAAAATCTTAATTCAGATTCCAAAGGGTGAAATGACAAAGTTCTAATTGACTATACTCTGATTCATGTGTAACATTAATATCATTGCAAAATTATTTTTAGTCTGGCTATGATGGCAGTTTGATCTACAGCATAAACTAAATTTATTCCTACCAAAGGAAGCAAAAGGACCCTTGGCAGAATCATTGATTCCATTAAATTCACTAGAAGTTGAGCAACCAACCTCCCTGTTGGTATTGTATAGAATTATTTATTTGCCGATAATGCACTGTTTACTCTGGGAAATAATTGTAGTCATAATGGAAGGTGCCCATCTCCCAGGCAAGGGGATACAGAAGGAAATGGTTGAGGATGATGGCAACCTAAGTATGGCCCATTCAACTTTAAGAAAAATCACAAACTGACTTTCCCAGCATTCACCTGGAAAGTACTCTTCAGGATAACACATATTGCAACTACGCTTATTCCTCTATCTCCAAGAATTTCACATCTTTTTCTGAATAACCAACACACACTTTTCCTCATTCTATTGCCTCTTGCTTCACAGCATGCTTCACAGACACGCCACAAATGTTGTCCTTTCCTCCTCTTCACTGAAGCTGTTATGAACACTCAGAGCAATCAGTTTTCTCTCCTTGCAGAAAAAGAAAGGACATAGCCTTGGCAAGAGGCTGAGACCTGGTGGAGGGGAAGAAGACAAAAGGAGTGGCTGTCAAATGGCAGAAACCTTTTCACCCACTGGCAGCATGTATCTTGGGGGTCTTGTTACAGGACACTATAGATGTCAGCAGTGACCTACTGTTAGAATCTGAGTTTCTCAAGGAGCTGGTGCTCAGTCAGGTCATGAGAGCTGATCCTCTTCCTGTAGACCTTGTGCTGGTGGTCTTCATTCCAGAATCTTGCTTCTGTGGCTGAAGAGAAGGCAACTGGTAC